CCACCAACAGTGAAGTTTAAAATTGTAAACCTACTTGATTCCTACAATTGGCAATACCAAGTTATCTAGACATAGTTTCCTATGTTCAGTCTTCAGAGGAGCCGTTTATATGGCAATCAGATTCTGAAGAGGAGGACTTCAACGCTGAACCTGAGGCGATATCGCAAGAGTATGAAGATGAGGATGAATATTGGTGATGTTTCCATGCCAATGACTGGGAATATAAAAACTAACAACCTGTTTTTACAAAAGCGGATGAATTGTGAGTATTAATTTGTTCTCTGTTTTTTTTTTTTTTAAATACTAAAGTCTGAAAATCGGTGTATTTGAATTGTTTTAATTATAGAATAATTTGATATTTAATAAAATCTGAATCTTTTACCCACCAATTTTTGATGGAATTTTTCTATAATTGTTTGATTTTGGACCAAATGATTGTAATTTCCCATTTCCCACTTGTTGATCAACATTTTTGAAAATTTATAGATTTAGATATATTTAAATTATCAGCAAAGCCTTATGAAGCTTGTTGGTGAAATACCAAAATGTGATCAACAGTGAGTGAAATGTAATTTACATATTCGTTTCATGCTTTTTTCCCCCAGAAACGCACAGTTTAATTAATTGACTATATTTCATTTCAGATACACCGGGACGAGTTACTTTACCTGGTAGATTAAAACCTGTAAGTACACATGCATAGTTATGTCACCGATTCTTGCTTAGACGTAAGATGTCTTCTTTGAGTTTTTTTTTGCAGCAGTTTTTATAAACTTAGAATCAAATTAGATTTTAAGACTAGTTCTGAAATTTTTCCAGTCATGCCCAAAAATGGTAATTCAAACACTCAACAAATATTGCAACAGGTCCTCCTGACCTTTGACCCACACCTGTATTACACAGGATATTGTCAACCTTTGGTGGAAAAGTAATTATACAAATCTGGAAAGAAATGCATGTGTCAACAATAATGTTTCCTTGAAACAGATAATAGTGTTTGTTCAATTGTTTTTACACAGTTACAGAAAAAGACAGAAGACGAAGTTGTTGAAGAAGCTCCAAAGGAGGTAATTTATTCTCAATTTTGCTGTGTTTTTTTTTCATCTGAATTACTTATCGTTAATATTTAGACTGTCATTGGCAAATACTGTATTAACAAGTCTTTTTAGCTAGCATGTCACTTTAGCTTATTTATTTAATCTGTAATTCAAGACTAGCTAAGGAAAGTATTTTCTCATAATAAGATTATTCACAAATTGTAATTTTTGTAAATCCTGCATTGAGCCAAATTTGCCCAAAACGACTTTTGCTTCATGATAAAAACAAAGGAGCAATTTCAAACTTTGTTTTGTGGACAGAGGGCGCTTTTGTGGAACAGTTGATTTTTAACAGAAATGTTATCTCTCATTGCTTCAATACCTGTTTAAGTTAAAAAAAAAATGTTTATATTTTTTGAAATGCAACATCATATTGCTTACTGATCTTCCCTGCCAAACATATTGGTTTGTTTTGTTGCCTGATGATAAATTTGAAACACTATAATATAGCGAATATAGTAATTCTTCTCCATTCAGATAAAGTGTGTCCATGCCTGCATCTTGGATATGTCTAAACATACATCATGGGATACAAATATACATGCATGCATTTTGTGATCTGATTCAAGATGGGTAAAGCTAAAACTGCATAAAATCAATCATTTCTGCCATTCCAGAATTGTATCAAACTTTACACATCAAATATATACATCATATTTTTTGGTTCTAATTCAAAATGGCCGACCGGTTTCAGTTTTGTTTTCACTATTGCATGCCTACTGATTTTGTGATGGGGACACTATTTCCGACTGTTATACGTTGTTCTGTAATGTAAATAGCCTGTGTTTAAAATGATGTCATAAAGCAGTACATCATGCGATTAATTATTCATGAAAACTTTTGACAAAACTAAAACAAAACCTAAAATAGCAACATACATATTTATAACTACTGGGTCGATGGAGGTCTTACCTCAGACTATAAACTTTTTATGATTAACAACATATCACCGAAAAGTCATAGCAGTAATGCAGCTTGGGTTGAAATACTGCACACTTTCAAGTGCTTGTTGTGTTCTGTGATTACGTCAGATAATTCTTTAGTAAAATTGTGTATCATGACAAATGCTATTGTTTATATTTTTTACCCCAGGTCGTCATACCAATGGTGTTGATGAGAATATCTAGTCTGCAATGGTTTCCAAAAGATGAGGAACTAACACAGTCAAATGTAGTTAGGATACTGAGTAAGTATATGTCAGGATTAAATTGAAATTGTGGCACTGCATCTACAGATTAAAAAATATGCTCGAAAACAGTAATACTTCTTTAAATTTGCCATTTTATTCAGCCCCTTTGAACAGTGCTGGCTCCTGATCTTTTGATTGATAAAAGTTTGTTTAACCCATCAAATGCAGAAGTCAGCTTAATATTTTTTTTTAAATATTTTTATTAGGCATGAAGCCACTGGCAAATGATATCCATTTGGTCCATAATTAACAAAAAAATGAGATAAAAATACATAAACTGTGCAAAGGCTCGTACTAGTAGTACTCGCTGGATGCCAGTGTTAAAATCAAATTATGGATGTGAGAGAATTGGCTACCCAATCTTAACACATAACAGTCAGGTCAATCAGAGAGCAGCTTGTTTTTTTGTTTTTTTTTCTTCCAGCGTATAAAATTTTGCCTAGTATATGTGCTTTGACTCAACAATTTTAGACTACAATGATTGTAGAGAATCAAAACACCAAAAAAAAAAAATAATATAGTTGGGACAGAAAAGAATAGTGTTTTTTGTGCATAAATTGTCTGTATTTGTTCAGTTTCACATGCAGAGAAAAACTAATTGTCACATCAATAAATTGACAGAATTGTAAACAAGCCTATTGTATTGCAATTAATGTAATATAAAAAAGTAGGAAACATTTGTAAAAATACTAACAGCTGGGCATGAATGTGGTACGAGATAATTGTGTATATATTCAACTTATCGTTTCACTTTCATATTATTGTGTAATTGGATTAAAATATGCGTATTTCATGTTAATATCTCCTTTTCGTTGATGCCCTCAAACACTGCAGTTCAATAAACAATGTGAGGTTCAGTGATCATAAAGCTTTTTAATAATTAATTATTCATAAACTTCCTCCATAGTAACCAATCATTTGATTGTTAATGCGTTTACACCAACACTCACCTGCCGCTCTGTTTATTTACAGTTGAGCTTCTGGATAAAGTCAATCAATTTCAACATCGTGGAGTTTGCAAAGCAGTCATGGATATTCACAAGTGAGTATGATATAACCCGATTGATGTCTTGTTCATTTAAAGTGGAATGGTACTATTTTTTTGACATGCAGCATATTTTTGCACATAGCTGTTTATGATCAATTGTTATAGCATTTAGCACCAGACTTTCTTAATTCACTATCAGTTTTAATTTACTTATTTCACTGCCTATTATTTGACAGTTTTTTGGGTAAAACTGTCAAATAATATGCATAAAAATGCTATTTTCACATAATTATATTAATTATATATTGTGCATCAATTTTCTCTGTTGCCATTGTGTTTCACTTCAGTGCAGAGCAGCCTGTCTAAACTATACATCTAACTCACTCATTGAGATATTAATTCAGTTTACATAATTCTGTCTAAACTGAACACCTAAGACCAGCAGGCCAAAAAAACACACTAGGTGAGACAGCGAAACCTAGTTTAACTGAACACCTAAGACCAGCAGGCCAAAAAAACACACTAGGTGAGACAGCGAAACCTAGTTTAACTGAACACCTAAGACCAGCAGGTAAAAAAAAAACACTAGGTGAGACAGCGAAACATGGCTTAACTGAATGTGAGGAGAAAAAAAACCCAGAGATAATTGTTTGTTTTTTATAGAGGTTTATTTATATGCAGAATGAACAGAATAAATGATTTACAATTTGGTTTAGACACCACATACCTTAATCCATAAATTTTCTCAGCATGTAAATTACGGCTTTTCCACGTACACTACCAGCAGACAAAAACAGCCTGTTGAAGGTCGCTGACTTTTGACTGTCGACTATCAATGTTTGTCATCCTTCGCAAAATAAACCTAATTTTCAAAATTGCTGATCTTGACCTATCTCAAGGCAGTAAGAATTTGGTCTAAGATTTAAAAAAGAAATTGTATAATATTAAAACATAATGTTCCAAAAAGTTGTACACACAAGAGACTGTATTTTTGTAAAAAAATTATGTTTGAGTGCCGTAATTTCTTCCGTCAAAATTTTGCTGAAACATTTACCTATTTATATGTAGGTATCCATAATATTTTTGATAATTTGGGACCGAATCAACATGATTTCCTGTTTGTAACAGTTCTTAAAAAAAAATTTACGAAAAAAAAAAATGAAGAAAAAAATGTGATGCTTGAATTTGTGAAAGGTAACAAAAGTTGACTTTGGTGAGAGAAGGGTTTAAGGTCAAAGTGTTATTGGAATCACTGAGACAGGTTCCTGGTTTGTACAGTTAGCACTATAGATGTTATTTAGTCTATCTGTGATTTAGATGAAATAAAATTAATGAGATGGACAGAAAAAGGAGTAAAAGTCACCTGTCAGTAAAACGTTATTATAGCCTGTATAAGTTGTTTTCTTCTTTTCACTATAGAAACGTTACCGTAACACTCTTCTGTTCATGTTTGGTATGTTTCTGGTTTTGACTGGATGTATAACTCGATGTCAGTCGTTAACATACCATGCGTCATCAAGCGATGTTATATGAATGCTTTATTTATTCAAATCTTAATTGAATTGCTGAGTTCACCGAAGCGCTCTTATTAGTGCACTATTGACAGTTGTATTCCCGCTACTTTATAGTGCTTGTTTGTCAATCAATTCAATCTGGTTGATTTACCTTGGACTGCGAACTCATCTAATTGCAAGAGCCGTTAATGAATTGTTACTGAGGGCAGTTCACTGACGTGTTTAACATCAAAGCCTTATATACATGTCTTTACATTGGGCAAGTTAGAGTAATATTTTAAGCCAAAACACAAAGTGCCACAGTTCGTTATTGCATAGCGAGTATTAAACAATATTTTTGCAAAAACATTCCATCATTGCTAAAAATTACATATGACTGTCATGAAAAAGCCATAAAATAAAGCGCCACAATTCGTCATTGCATAGCAGGTATTAAACAATATTTTTGCAGAAACATCATATCTAAAAATTACTTATGACTGTCACGGAAAATTTGCAAATTTTAAATGTTGGTATAAGTTATTCATGGAATAATGTGTTTACATAGAGTCCTATGGAAAATGTTCCAAAATGGCCGCTTGTTTTCTTGAACACACGTTCTTTCTTTTCTTTCGTAAAAATATGAATGAGGTACATATATGTGATTGAGTCATCATAATTTTTGAGAAAATTGGTCAAAAATCACATGACAATGTTCATTGGTTTATTGTGTAAAATCATGAAACTATTGTTCCACGACACCATGAAATAGCTTTCTTTGTTTTACAGTGACATTTTTTTTAAACAACTTTTCCTAATATATTTTTTAGAAATCTCTATTTGTAGAACAGTTCTTCAGTTCCACACTTTTTAAAACCCAGATTTTTGAAAAAATTAAGAACCACAAAAAGTACCCCATCATTAAAAATATATTATTTTTTTAGCTTATGTCATCAGCATACACGTTAGGATATATGCAGTAATATCCCCGCCATATGATCAAGCATTGTAGTATTGCCAAAATGGCCACTATCCACTAACAAATTCGACCTTCATTTTCTCGAAATTAGGCTGGTGGCCACAAACTTTTTTCAAGTCAATATCCTTTATATAAATTCTGGGTATTTTATTCATTTCCAAAATAGCCGATTTTTGCATGTTTTTGAACAGCTTTTCTCCAACAAAATACTTTAAGCTGGGTAAAAAAGTCCAAAAGATTATAACTGGTGTTGAATTCAACAATTATGCAACCCTTTAGGGACGATGTCAAAAGATCGATGTCGGATAAAAAACTTATTTCCTTTAGTTTGGGGGTGGGGGATTTTGACCTCAAAAAGTTCCCATCCTACAAAAACGATTTTATTTTTTAATGAAGTCAAAAAAATCTTGGAGTATTTGTAGTTCGTTTTTTCTATCCAATCATGGACAGAAATAACCGAAAAAGGAAAAAAACAGAAAAATGGTTTGGTTCGAGTGTAAATCTGTGCGTCAAATGAGGTGCATTTGTAAAATCTTTTTACACCCACCCGACAACCAACTGCTATGCAATACTACTGTCTGATTATGAATTTGTATTTAATGGTGAATGTAGTCTGACGCCATGACCAATATTTATCAATTAAGTTTCAGTGGGGGGTAAGGGGGTTTGGAAAAAAACTAAAGGAATTAAGTTTTTTATCCGACATCGATCTTTTGACGTCGTCCCTTAAAATAAACTTTTTGCTTTTATTTATTAGGGAGAATATTTTGAATATAACTTTACTGTCAGCTCATTACAATTCAGGAATGTTAAACTTTGATCGAGAAAGTACCAAATATTTTATGCAGGTTTATTTTCATTCTAAACAACTTTGACTTGCGCTATTTGTGGGAAAGTTATGGTTCCAAACTGGACATATTTTTTTTTCAATTTTTACCACCCCCACAACAAAATATAATGGTCTGACCCATTCAAATTAGATTCACAGTAACCTAGCAACTGATGGAGTTCACAAAACCTGTTAAAACATAATTTTCACTTTCAAATTTCACTGCAAAAGATATTGATGTTTACTAAATGCAACAATAAAAACAGGGTTTCTTGACCCCGAGTGTCGCATGCATTTTGCGATGTCAGTATATGTCAATAGAAAAATGACAATTGTCCCAAACTCCTTAATAGAGAACTTGGTCTTGAGGATGAAGAAATGAATGCAGTTGTACAGAAACTAACACAGCAACTACAACATGAGAAGGCCATGGTACGAGTCAATGCAGTCAAAACCCTTGGTGATTTGGGACTGGAGAGAAAATCAATAATTTTTGGATTGCTACCCAGGTTATCAGATACAACAGTAAGTAAAGGGTCTACCTAATAACTTTTGGTGATGACAAAGTTTAGTTGTCATGCCGATTCTGGCAATTTGAGTGCATAAATAAGATCATTACATGCTGGAGGCTGCATATGT